GCTTGTTGCTCATCGAGCCTCCTAGACATCTCCCCAGGGATGTCAGTCATGTGCACACTCACGTACATGCCTCGAATTGAGCTTGAAGTCTGCGACGTTGATGTTGCCGAGCAATCGTCGTCGTCGTTGTCAGAGACGGATGTTAGACCCGTGCCGGCAAACGGGGTGGCCACCCCCATTTGAGCGTGAGCGTGTTGGCGAGGTTCAGGCTGGCGAGGTTTGCCTGTAAGGCGAGATTGGTGCAGTGTGCCTACGCCTGCCTTTCTAGCGCACTTGAGCCGTCAGGCGAGCTTGGTGAGGTCCACTTGATTGACGAAGCCCTTTTGAACTACAGGGTTCGCCAGGCGCCCTCGGTTCGCCAAAATTGAGCACCTTGCTCACAGAGTGGGGCTCGCCTAAACTGCTAGGCTTGCCCGATTTGAGCGGTTCGCCAAAAATGGGAACCTGGCTCAAGATGTGGGGCTCGCCTAAACCATTAGGCTCGCCTGATTTGAGCGGTTCGCCGAAACTGGGAACCTGGCTCAAAGAGATAGGCTCGCCTAAACTGCTAGGCTCGCCCGATTTGAGCGGTTCGCCGAAAAGGCGAACCTGGCTCAAGAGGTTGATTCCTCTTGAGCCTGAATAATAATTCAGGCTGTCGTGGGGGATGAGGGATTGTGCCTCGAGACGAGCGAGAGCTTTTCGTCGCTGCTGTTTAGATCTTTTTGAACGAGGAGCTCGATTGTTTTTTGGATGCGCTAATTGGAAAGTGAGTAATTGTGGATTCTTCAAATGGGTATCTGATGAAGAGGAGTTTGAAGGTTCAAAGGCAGAGCTTGTTCAGATGAAGCAGTGGAGCATGACGCCGCAAGTTTCAAGAGCCGTGTCAAGTGGAGAAGTGCAGGAAAAGAGAAAGATTGAGAATGTATTATTGGATTTGTTATTAGTTAGTACTAATTGCGTACAATGAGATATCAATTTGATTCAACTTGATGTTATCAGTTAGTGCTAAGTAGGGTGTGAGAATATTACCTTTATGGATATCAATTTGATGTTATCAGTTAGTACTTCATCAATTTGATGTTATCAATTTGATGTTATCAATTAGAGTCATTGTAGGTGTAAATTTTGATCTCCCGAAAATAGGGAGCTTCGTTTGTATTGATAAGAAGGCTTATTACAAACTAATAAATCAAATGTTTACAACAGAAGCGGAGGGAATGCCATCCTTGTTTAACGTGGGTTCCTCGGTGGCGATAGGACGCCTCGCTCGGTGCTCGTGCAGAGTCTGCTTCCCTTGGACGATCCGATCGAAGTCGCTGCCGGAGCTTCAGTTCTCAAATGAGTGAGCCTTTGGCAAAGGTCCAGGTTCAACCTTTGGGAGATTAGCCAGCAGAATATGCAACAGCCAATCCCCCCTTTCATGCTGGCTGAAGATGGGTTTTAATAGGCAAGGGATGACATGGGCCATCCCTTGATTCATGGGATTTGACCACGTGAGGGAGACAGCTTGACTGCTCCTTGAATTATGGGATGTGACCACACGTCGTTCAGAGATATCCTGCTGTTCACCTGCAACAGGAGCGGTCATTCGAGGAGCCATGTTTTACATCACGTCACTTAGGAATGAGAAAGCCCCTCCTCGTATGCGTAACAACGGCTGTCAGATACTCGAGTGGATATGGCCAACTCACTGAGCGCCGGCGGCCCTCCCTTCTGCTTGGACAAGTTAGGTGAGCTGCATTCATGAGGGTGCAGGCTGTTTCGGCGCCTGTCCATTCATTCGTACTGTGGACGGCCGCTTGACGGTCTTGGGATACTGTGCCCTCTCCCTTGATTTGCGGGCTTTGACCACTGATGTAACTATTCCCATACTCCAAGTGGGCAGTTGACAGTGAGCTGGCGAGTCTGCAGCTTGGGTCTGCAGGCGAGCTTAGGACTACAGGCAGACTTGGGTCTGCAGGCGAGCTTGTAGGCGAGCTGAGTCTGCAGGCGAGTTTGGGACTACAGGCAGACTTGGGTCTGCAGGCGAGCTTGCAGGCGAACTGGGTCTGCAGGCGAGCTCAGGGGCGCAGGCAGACTTGGGTCTGCAGGCGGGCTGGCAGGCGAACTGGGTCTGCAGGCGAGTTTGGGACTGCAGGCAGACTTGGGTCTTGATCGTGCAGGCGAAATTCGAGCTGCAGGCGAGCTCCTGAGCATGGATCGAAGAATATGCCGTAACTTTCAAACCGTAAGTCGGAATTGGACGAATTATATATGAAAATCGCCTATCTCAACGAGATGGGACCATCCGAACCTAGCCGAAGGCTTTGGTTCGCTTCCTCCGTTTCGCCAAATTCCTTACGGTTTGGGAGATATCTGTGTTTTCTCCTTTTTCTGCTATTTCGGGCGAGGTTTTAGCAGTTTTGTTCTGAACTTGTCTGATAAGGATTTAAAGGTAATTTTTATTGCCTACATAGATCTCTAAAGCCCAGACCACCCTCTGACTTTGCTCGACACACCTTCTGCCACCTAACCCTGTAAATCTTCCTCTCACCAAAAGTTGGTCCTCATCAGAATCTCATAATGATAGACTCAATATCCCTGCACAAAGAAATAGGAATACGGAAGATACACATCACATAGCATGGAATCGCCTACAAAATAGCTTTCATCATAACCGCTCGCCCCCCAGCTGAGAAAAGAGCCCTCCTCTAAGCTTGGGCTCTTTTCCAAACTGAGTCTCTGATGGAAAACAAAAGTCTGACAACGGCTTCTTCCAACCACCAAAGGGAGATCTAAGTACCGATCATGTGATTGGGCCCTATCAAGCCCCAAGACAGAGAAAATAGAGGCTCTAGTATCCTCATCTACATAGGGACTAAAGGTGATGATAGACTTCTGAAAGTTGACTTTATGAATGGTTGCAGCATCATATAGTAGCAGAGTACTCTGGACAGCTTGTGCAGCGGCCTGGGAAGCCTGAATAAAAATCAAGGAGTCATCTGCAAAGAACAAGTGAGAAATCCTTGGCCCCGATCGAGAACAAGATAACCCTCTGATGCACCTATTCTCCTCCTGTCTGATGATCAGTGCAGAGAGAGCTTTCGTACAGAGAAGAAACAAATATGGGGCATCCCTACCGCAGACCAAGAGTAGGAGTGATCTGACCCACAATCTGCCCATTGAGGCAAAAAGAGAGTGAGGAAGTGGGGATACAGTCCAAAATGAAAATGCCTCCAATGATCTGGAAAGCCCATGACCTGAAGGGCCCTATCAATAAACCCTCATTCCACTCTGTCATATGCCTTACTCATGTCCAACTTCAGTGCCATATATCCAGACCGACCCCGTCTCCTCTTCTGCAATGTGTGGATAAGTTCAAAAGCAACAAGATCTCCCTGGAACAAAAGCACTCTGAAAGTATCCGATCAATCCGCCAAGAACCCGCTTCAGCCTATTAGCAATGGTCTTCGTGACAATCTTGTAGACCACATTACATAGGCCGATGGGTCTAAAGTCTGCCACAGTCTCAGGTGAATTTCCAACATTTAGTTTTGAATTTTATTTTTTTGACATTTCGGTCATCTGATTTGGACTTTAGTTTAATAACATTTTGATCACTTGATTTGGATTTTAGTTTAAAGACGTTTCAGTCACTTTGAAAACTTTAATTTCTTTAGTGTAAGGGCATCTCGGTCCATAATTTAGCATCATAGCAGTAATTTAGAATTTTCTTATATCTTCTACATCATTTTGAGGGAGCTGCAATCTTTAGGAAGTATTCTTGCAACATCTAGATTTTCTGAGGGCTCTCTGCAATTTTTGTAACTTTCCGATGCTTGTTTGTAATTTCAGATGCTTCTAGGGGCTATATGCAATTTTTGCAGCTCCTAGGAGCTGTCTACAAATTGTGTAGCTTCTAGGAGTCTGTTCGTGAATTCTGCAGCTTTACAATTATGTATGCATAGCTTAAGAAAGCAAAGTCCAAATTAAGAGAGAGATGGGATTTGTTGCGTAAGAGATTTGATTTTCTCTTCTCTTTTTTTTTTCCTTTTTTTAATTTGAAAGAAATGGTACGTAGGCGTGCTCGTCTTTAAGTCTTGGGCTAATGTCGGATTTATGGACAAGCATTAACAGCCATTTTTTATATCTGTTTTTCTATAGAGTGCCTATAAGCACACTTTAAGAAATGAGAGAGATAGAGAGAAATAAATGAGAAGACAATACAAATCAGGGGACCCCCCTCCTCATTTATCTCTTTCTCTCCTCTCTTGAGTGTCCATGGGCACTCTATAGAAAAACCGTTTTTATATATCAGCCTTAATTAATGTCAGATTTGGCATTACTGCCTGTTTTAAGCCCTGAAGTTAATGCCCGGCCCTTTTTTGTATCAGTGTTAATGTCGTAATTCACACGTAGGTACTTAATACCCGCTAGAATATCGGTGTTAACGCATTAATGCACCTTATAAATGAATCGATGTTAAGGTCAGAATTCACTTGTAGTCGTTAATGCCTGACTTCAATAATGGTGTCAATGCCCGTCTTTAATATTAGCGTTAATGTCGTATTTCAATTAAGATGAGCTCATTTTGATGTGACAATTAAGATGAGCGTCATCACATTGTATCTCTTGATAGCTAATTTTACAAAATATGTCACCACTTCACGTGTGTGTATAGAGTAAGACTCCTATCACCTTAAGTTAATGTCCACCAAACTTCCTAACCACTCATTTCTTAATATAAAAAACATTTTCATATCATGCAAGGATCCCTAGGCAATATGAGTGGTTAAAAAGTTTGGTGGTATATAGAAGTAATTAATTTCTCTCCAAGAAAGAACCAAAATTAGCACGAGGAAACAAGTGCAATATAACCTTTTAAATTCAACTTGACTAGATTTTGTTTACATCAGTGATAAAAATCTATTTCCAAGCATGTAATTATACCAGGTAGAAGAAAAGCTTATTCAGAGATATCCTCCCACTGACCAAAAAAAAAAAACCTGCTATGCTCAAGAAATCATAATGAACCAATATACAGACAACCAAAAGGACATTTTGCTAGAAGAAGTCTTTAGTTTCTTATTCAACATAAGTCTAAGAATGCGATATATTACAACGGAAACAAAAATATAAAAACGGAAAATAATAAAGATCCACCTAATATCAACAATTCTTCAAACCATATACCTATAACTTCCATGCGGAGAAAGAAATTATACTGAAAGAAATTAATTCCCTTCAGCAAGTAAAAACCGATATTTGGACATATACCATGAGCAGCGACAATTACGATAAGTTCGCTAGGAAAGTATCCACTTTGTCATTCGTCGACCTCTTCAAAAACTTCATGCAAATGGGTGGCTTCACCTTCGCCAGAGCGAGAATCGATTGAGGCAGAGTCCATATACCATCTCCACAAATCAAACCAGCAGCAACCGCAGGTGCAAAAGCAGCAGCCTTCGCCTTATTAATCCTCTCCCATATGAAGAGTATCAAACTCCCTACACACATATCAATAGCAAAGTATGATCCCAAATAAAAAGGAATCGCCATCGCCATTGGCAGCGGTATAAACCTTGAAACCTTCTTCGGTCCAATATCTCTCAACAAATTGATGGCAACAGCAAGAGCAAAGAACACGTAGCAGAGAGTGAGGCAGTTCTTAGGAAGAGAGCCAAAGCCATCGACTCCAAGAATCGCCATGTTTCTGTAAACAAGAGCATAGGGAGCTGGATACTCGCTCCCTGGAAGCCCCAGATCACCAAAAGCCTTGTAGAAGAGCCAGAAGACACAAGGGGAAATAACACAGCCCATCGCAGTTCCAATCACTTGGCTAACAAACATAGACTTTGGAGATGCGAGGGTGAGATAGCCAGTTTTGAAATCTTGCATAAGGTCAGAAGCAGTTGAAACGATGCTCATCATTACACCACAAGCAGCAAGGCCAGCAAGAACACCTCCATGGTTGGCTCCTGCCCAAGCTCCAATGGTGAAGATTGCAAGCTTTCCATAGGTCGAGGCAAGAGACCAATCGGTGAGGCCACAGCCATAAGCGTTGGAAAAGGCAAGAACTGGTGCGATGATATAGGCAACAAAGACATAGTACCATTTTAGCTGTGGGAAAATGTGAGGTAGAGTGCCAATGGAGATAGCAGCAACAACGACATAACCAGCTAAAGCAGCTAGATTTGGGATTTGGTCCTTGAGAAAGAATTCAGAGCGTCGCTTGTCATCAAAGGAGACAGCAGCATCAGAATCTGCTGCCTTGCCATCTTCTGAGATGGGACGAGTACTGGTTCCTTTACCTTGCATTTGAGAAACTAAAGCAATAACTGTTCGACCCAAAACCTTGAAGAAATGGTAAAGGCCATCACCGAGAATCATTGCAATACCGATGAACACCCTGTAGCCTTGAAGGCCATGAAGACTTGAATCTGAAAGATTAGCTGGGTACCAATGTCCCTTCTGATTGCCAATAAGAGGCCACATGATTCCCCATGATAAAATGCCTCCCAAGAGGACAGATATGTTCACAAGGTATGGACAAATCATTCCAACTCCAACATAGGTTGCAGAAAAATCAAAGTAGAACCTGCAACACAATTAGGGAAATTAAGAACATCAGTAGATAGTTTGGGGTGGCACATGATTCCCCATGATAAAATGCCTCCCAAGAGGACAGATATGTTCACAAGGTATGGACAAATCATTCCAACTCCAACATAGGTTGCAGAAAAATCAAAGTAGAACCTGCAACACAATTAGGGAAATTAAGAACATCAGTAGATAGTTTGGGGTGG